AGGATAATGACAACAACAACAATGATAATCATAGTAATAATGGTAAAAACACAGTGATAATAATGATATAATAATAATGACAATAATGATTATATTAACAGTGAGGATAATAATAATAACGATAATAACAATAATGATAACGATGAAAATAATAATAATAATGGTAATAATACAAATAATAATGATAATAATACAAATGATAATGATAATGAATGTAATAATAATGACAATAATGATAATAACAACAACAACAACAATAATGATAATAATAATAATAATAATAATAATAATAATAATAATAATAATAATAATAATAATAATAATAATAATAATAATAATGATAATAATAATAATGATAATCATAATCATAATAATAATAATAATAATGATAATAATGATAATAATGATAATGATAATAATGATAGCGATGATATTAATAGTGGTGGTAATAATAATGATAATTATAATGATAATAATAATAACAGTAATAATAATGATGGTTATAATGATAATAATAATAACAGTAATAATAATGAAAATAATGATAATAATAACAATGATAATGATAGCAATAAAAATTATAATAATAATGATAATGATAACATGATAATATACCTAATGATACCTAATAATGTTATCAATAATGATAACAATAATAGTAACAATAATAAGACGAATGTTGATAATGACAATAATAGTACTAATGATAATGATGGGGATGGTAATAATAATGAGAATAACTGATCATAAAATGATGATGATAATGATAACAATAATGGTGATATGGGCAGTAAAGATATAATGATAATGGCAATAACAATTGTGATAATAATGATAATGGTGAAGCAATGATGATAATGGTAATGATAATAACAGTGATAAAAGTAATAGTAATAATGATCATGGTAATAATAATGATGATAGTGATAATGATAATGGTGATGATAATAATCACAATGATAATGATAGTAATGATAACAATAATAATGACAATAGTTACAATAATGGTAAAGATAATAATAAGGATAAAGATAACAATAACAATAATGACAA